TGTCTTTTGCAGCAATATGAATTTTGCTAAATGCTAGTAGCAAGACTAAAAGCATCTCACAGCCGCCAAGGAGATTCAACTCGTACTCTTTCCGATATCAGCTGTGCAAGCGTGCCACCTCTGAGTAGCTCATCGGTATTGCAGTTACCAGCGATTCCGCATGGAATCCTACCTAAATCGGTACCTAAACGAATCAGATGACGAAGCAGATTGATGCTATTTCTAGTGCGGGCAGATGCTCCCTAATGCTTTGATCACACAGTTAGCAAGTTCAGCGCTAGTATTGTTGCCAGAAAATTATTCCTGCAACCATCCCTCCTAGTTTCGATTCACGAGTGAAAAATGTTACTACGTCTCCTCTGGAGCATTTTCTGCCCATCCCTGGTTGGTAGGTGATCGAAGAAAACGCTACCACGCTTGATCTCTGCGACGTAGGGATCCAACTTTTCAGGAATGTAGTTGAAGGAGGAGAGAACTTTGGAATGGTCCGGACAAGGCCCCTTCATGTACTCACCTTCTCTGAGCTTTGGAATGCACTTAGTAGCAATACACTTACCGACGACAATGTCCAGGTGTGCTATAGAATTGGGTGTTATTTTTTGCGTAGTGCGCTGTGTACCTTAAATGCTAATGAGAATCGCTTTGGACACGCTACGCTTCTTAGCAATTGTAGTCTTTTAGAGCTCTCATCCAGACAAATATACACAAGGACAGTATTAGATTGACTAAGGTTTCATAAAAGCAAAACACCACCGTAGGTGAGAGTCCACCCCTTTTTCTTTATAGCTATATTACGTAACCAATGCCTTCCCTGAACCTCCGACAGAGGGCAGGCACATTTCTGATCCTTTACTTCCTTGTAAATAAAACTATTTCGGTTCAAAGTGATTACAACCTGAAAATATTTTTCTTCTGCTTTAAAAATACCCTTCTGTTTTTTTCATAAGCAAATCGGTTCTCGGTTACGGTGGGTTGTCTTTTTTCAGATTTCTTTAATGGCTCCATGCTCCAAAAAAAAAAAATAAATTTTGAAAGCATGTGTTCCCACACACTCACTCCATTCGCGCAGAACCTGAAATACGAGTTTTGTAAAACAGAGTAAGTTTGTTAAAAATATATCACTCGATAAATATATTTTGCTAGAAACTAGTACAATTTACACACGTCATAGACGTAATTATACCGGATAAGTATGTATTCGTTTAACTTTACTTTGCTTGTTTCAACTTGGACTGACGTAACCTATTTGAGGAGCGGGATACCTGCGATAATCGCGAAGCAACCGATACGTGCGATCGTTTAGATTTAGTACGTTTCACTCCCTCAGCCGGACCACCACCCGGCACAATTTCTCTAACTTTTGCACTCATGTACTCCATTTCTCCCATCAGAAACTCTTTTTGCATTTTCATATTATCCAAGCCAACCTTGAGTTTTGTGTTTTTATCTTGTAGCTCACTCATGCGGCGATCATATTCCACGGTCATGGTTTCGATGCGAGTTTTGTAGTCCTGAAAACGTATAACAATTAGCAGCATACGAAATAATTATATACATATATGTTGTTGGTGTAACTCAAAGCTGGCAGCAATTACTGTGCTGTCAATATTTACGCCTACAAATATGCAACACTGCCGCTTTCGTGAAAATTTTTCGCACCTGTATTATGCCATATATGCACTGCATCATCGAGGCGTTGCAATACAGTTCAACATTATGCTTCCGGTTGATGTCTTCCAGTTCTTGTCTTATATCATTCTCCTTCTTGTCCGTGTAATCCTGCCATTCAGCGGCTCTGTTGATCAAGTAATTCATATGATAACGCTGCTCAATGGGATCACGCACTAGTGGTGGAGTTCAATATAATACGATTAATATGGCCTACCCATAATAATGTTGGATCACTTACCTATATAAGCTAAGGTTTCCAATTCGAAATAGTTCTTTACGACATCGCGGCCCACACTTCGGCGTGTCAGTGAAATATTTGTAATCTCATTGATTTTGTTCATAAATAATGCCACACTCCCTTCCAACTCCTCCTCAATTTTATTATGCATCTCCAACAGGCTGTTGGCATTGCTAAAATAGCGGTGAATTTATAAATTAGACTTTTATAAAAAATATTATATTAAGTTGGTTGCGTAACCAGTAAACTTGAGAAACTGAAAAGACTGTTCGCGCAGCTCAACAGCTGCGGTTGCGTTCTGAAGCATTAGTGTCAGAAGAAGTGATTTAAGGAGAAAATGAGGTTTTATATGGCACGACCTGTTAGCAAAGTCCCACCGATCCCAAAATCAAATTTTGTAGTATAATCTTTTTACATGCATATATATCTACTATAAGCGAACTGTCACGATCGAAGACTTAATAGGGACTACTACTACCGAACACCTCACAGCATTTTATATTCTAAGCGAACCCACCAGCCCTTCAGCTAATACAAATTCAAGTTTTTAAATTCCACTACACAACTGCTTTCTACTTCGGGATATTCGTTAACTCACTTTATCATTGCTAGCGTCTGCACTGCGAGTTCGCTATTCTTGGTACAGAAGCTTATAAAGTATGGTTTCAGCAAACGCACCAATTCCATAATATCGTAACGCAGCTTGAAGGCGTCCAAACAATTTTCCGTGAGTGATTTTTTGAAGATATCCACCCAAGCAACACCTTTCATTTGGCGCCTGGCGAGGAAACGATCGTCAGTCCAACTGAAAACTTGAAAATGCTCGTAGTCTTCCAGTTTGAAGTTCTTGTTTTTGCAATCATTTAGTTTGTAAATCATATACAATGACGTATTGACGTCGTTAGCCAATTTTTCTATTGCGAGCGTACGTGCCATTTCGTAATGTGGTTGTTGTTTATGCTGTACAATGCTCCAAAATTTATCCGGATCGCGTATGGAGAAAGTGCTCGAAAATGAGCGCAACTGTCTGTCGAATTCGTCGTGTATTAATATCCAGCGTGACGGAATTAAACTCTCAAAAGTATATCCGGAGCCAGTGTCTACTTCATCCTCGTCGACAGTCCATCGTAAAGAAGGATGATCATCCACGAATTTATCCAAAATTCCGCTGCGAAACGTGCCCGGTAAGCGCATCATAGAGTCCCTCATTACAGTTAACATTTGCTTGTGATCGTCCTCATCCATGTCGTATTGGAAAATATCGGCAAAGTCGACCTCATCGCCGCCATAGACACTTCTGCGAAAATGCGCAATGCTCCTTCTGCCGTCCTCTAAGTTAATCATGTTTTGCTATTGATAATTTGTCTGATTCGCGTACATTAACTAAATATCTAGTTTCGTATTTCGTATTTCACCCGATTGAAGCTCACGTATATGTCTACGAAGTGCGTTACTAGTTAAGTAAAAAAAAAATATATATATCCTATTTATTTTGTATCCTATATTATATTGTAAAACGTATGTAAAAAGCTTGCACGCGTTAAAAAATATTGAGAGTAATAAATTTTTGAAAGGAAAACTGTTGCAAATAGAAAATGAGTTTCCGTAGCGCAAAGTAGTTAAAAAGAAATGATTTATCCGAATATATAGGGATCGTCTTAGTGCACTTCTGCATAAAGTGCCCATAGAAAATGCCGGAAGGTGTATGACCGCGAAAGTAGCTTTCAAGATCAGAGAATCTGGGTATCTAACTGTCCGCCCACATAGGAAGGGTAAAAGCCGTTGGAGAAGAGGGGCAGAGAGCTACTTTGCGGATGGCTCAAAGCTTCAGGGAAATGTTGTTGGAGTAATATATTATTAGGAACTTTCTGTCAGCTGCAGTGCCAGACTTCGATACTAATGCAGTATTTTTCAAGCTGAGATTTGCTGCCATTAAGGTAGCGGTAGATTTACAGCAGGTTTCTGAAGAATGACAAGTCGGAAACATCTTCACACTTCCCTTTTGATTATCGCGTGTTTGTGAGATCAAAACTTAAACACTTGGAAGCGTAAGCACTGATCACAAGGTACTTTAATGACTCATAAGATCGAATACAAAAGTTCTGTTTTATGGCTTCACAAAGCACTGCAGAAGGGAATTCAAGTGCATGGATCCACCATCGAACCTAACGTGGCCATCCTATAGCATATGTGTTATAAGGAATTAAATCACTTAGTAGCGCATAGGTTACTCTGCTTTTAACCTCGGGAAAAAAGCAACCATTTATCCTCTTTTACTACAGGTCGGAGGGAGTATCTTACTCACCCTTCTCTCTAATTGCTTTAGCGCCATAAGTTTCCATAATAAATTTTTTGTTTCTTAGGCTTAATGGTATGTAGGTCTTATTGGACCCATAGGTCGTTCACATCATCCTCCAATTCAGGCTGTTAAAAGTCATCAATAATGACTCTATAGTGTGTCCCATTGATTGTAACAATATAGCCGGTTTGATTTTTGAAAAAATATGAACCAATGGTTCCTCTGCCCATGGCATACAAAAATCGCTTGTGGGTTATTATCATTCCAAGTGTGATGCAAGCTCCTTTCACAGAATTTTCCATAAAATGTATGTACACAGCTTCAATTGTTGCGTGCGATGACGGATGGACTCATTCGTATTTTATATCGACCGAATATTGGACACATCACAGGAACTGAATCAAAGCTTATGGTTCGTTACACTTATATTGGGTCGTTCACCAAGTTTCGTTTGATGACAACAACTGATCTGTTTGAATTTTTTAGCATTTACTTGAAAATTAGACATGAATTTTTCATGGTCTTTGCTTAGTCGCTTACCCACAGTGATTTGCTTATCGAACGTTGAAGAAGTTTTTAATTTGCTATTGAAAAAAGTACCTCTAATTGGATCAATGGTTATAAGTCTGGTGCAGGATCTCAGTTCGCAATATATTTTATAAGTTGCAAAATTTAAATTAAGAGTTTAGCTAGAGCCACAAAATATTGCAATGATTATCCTTAAATAACAAATTTTCCTTTTGATGACTTAAAGGCCCAACATGGCACTCATGTGCAAAAGAAAAAAAAAAATTGTGTCAATACAAATATCCATAGTATATTTCTTGAAAGCCTTTTTGAATTTCTATTCTATGCAATACCGTTACTTATGCACTACTAAATGAATATATACCGTTATTTAGTTAATTTAACTTGGAGCGTTTCTTCTTCAATTCTCTTACGCTGGCACTTGATAACATCGAAATGAGGGAGCGTTTTTTCCTTTTCGGAAGTTTTACCTCCTTGCCCTTTTGCATTTCCTCAATACGCATTTGCATGTAGTCCTTTTCGGCCATTAAAAAGTCGGTTTGAATCTTTATTTTATCCATATTGGTTTTAAGTTTGTGATTCTTCTCTTCGACTTCATTGAAACGCCGATCATATTCTTGAGACAGTCCTTCAATGCGCCGTTTGTAGTCCTAAGCGGAAATGAAACACAAACATTTTAATATTTTGCACAGTAATTTTAAAGCCTAAAACTATGCTATGAGTAAGTTTACAGCTACGCTACACTAGTCAACAGTAAAAAATCACACCCTAACCAACCTCAATTATGCCGTATATGCACTGCATCATGGATGAATGACAGTATACTTCGGCGTTATGCTTCTTCTTAACTTTAAGTAATTTTTCCTCAATTTGACGCTCTTGGTTTTCGAAGTAGCACTGCCAGTCTGCGGTCTTTTGCTTATAGTAATTGATTTGATAACGTTTCTCGATAGGATCACGAACTAATAAATGAAAAACAACTCATTATATGTTGAACCGAATTTTGAACGTGAGATCATACTAACCAACATAGGCCAATGTTTCCAGTTCAAAGTAGTTTTTTACCACATCACGGTTCACACTTCGACGGTTGAGTGAAATATTAGTGATCTGATTGACTTTGCTGCAGAAAAATTCGAGGTTCTCTTCCAGTTCTTTCATGACTTTGTCATGAAAACCCAGCAATAGACGTGCATTTCTAAGGCGAGTCGGAAATGGGTAATAGAAATTTGTGAATGTGAATTTCTAGAATACGGCAAATCTGTAATTTACTTACTCAATAACTTCTTTGCTTTCTTTTATGAACTCAGGATTTGCGCTATAGAAGCTTGATAGTAGCGGTTTCAACAGTCGCACCAATTCCGTAATATCATAACGCAATTTGAATGCGTCCAAACATTCTTCTGTTAAAGATTTTATAAAAATATCAACCCAAGCAATACCTTTCATATGTCTTCTGGCGAAAAATCGATCGTCCGTCCAACTGAAAACATGAAAATGCTCCAAGTCGCCTAGTTTGAAGTCCTCATCTTTGCATAGATTCATTTTAAAGATCATATACAGAGAATTGTTAATGTCGTTGCCTAATTTTTCAACCGCATAGGTGCGTACCGGCTCGAAATGTGCTACCTTAGTCGCTTGAATTATGGCCCAAAACTTTTCAGAATCTCTGATCATGAAAGCGCTCGCAAACGGACGCAATTTTCTGTCAAATGTCTCGTGAACTTCCACCCAACGCGAGGGAATTAAGCTGTCAAAACGAAATGTTTTCAAAATGTCTTCTAAATTGTCTTGATCTTCGTCTTTCTCCCCAGTTGTCTCAATCTTCCAGTTTAACTCGGGATGTTCCTCTATGAATCGGTCCAAAATATTGCTTCGAAAGCTATCAGGTAAACGCTGAAGAGAGTCCCTCATCACTTGTAATATTTTCTTATGATCGTCTTCATCAATATCGAATTGAAAAATATCGGCGAATTCGACTTCATCACCGCCGTAGATACTCTTGCGAAACTGAGCAATGCTTTTGCGCCCCTCCACTCTCTCTATTTCATCCATGTTCGATTGTTATTGGAAATTTAGCAACTATGTATACTATATACTTGTTATCGCGTTCTAAGTCTAAATTGCTTGAATGGACCGAACACTTCTTCGCATAATATTACGTCAGACAAATGGACCGAATGTGTCGCGCGCGAATTATTTATTGCAAAAAAAATATCACTTAAAAAAAAAATACGCACAAAAAAATTGTGGTGCGTAGCTATGTATGTTCCTGCTAAAAAAAATCGTAAAAATTTAAATAAATATTTGAAGTAAAAAAACTGAGAAAAAAACTTGTTGAGTATTGCGTGCAAAGTGAATGAGTTTCACCCCATGAACCTACGGCAACCGCACCACTCACATGTTAAGTCCTCATATATTTGTCTATATTAGGGTGTGTTAGCTCTTGCGAACTAAACATTTTTCGAAAAATCACAATTTATCGTTAAACTCGATATGCGTTAAGTAGTAAATTCTACGTTGCTGGAGTTGACCCGGATTTTCTCCGGCCAAGGAGAAATAACTCCTATTCAAAAAATCTCGGTTAAGTAGTGTGATAGACAGCTTTACAAAAATGTACCTACCGACAGCCAATAGAAGAGGTTTAGAAGCTCGCTGCACTGACCTCAACAAAAGCTCCAATAACTACTCCACCGGCTGCTCTTGAACTGATACTAAGCCTGCCCTATAGACCTCTTTGATGAAAATTTTACGGCAAAATCGGCGGGACGACTACTGGTTACATGGGGGTTTTGATATATTATGCTACCTTCAGGCTTGGTAGGTAATGCTCGTTTAGCAAGTAGCGACCAAATGATCCCACTTTTCGGTCAGAAATGCCTTGGAAATCAGGACAGCAGAGGAGACTGTCGTCGGAACCAAGCGACTTTAGTTCAACTGGGCGCCAGGTCACAAAGACATCGAGGTATTGCATGGGATAACCAATAGTGTCAACTGAAAACGTGATTAAATCTGGACAGAAGTATGGCAAGGAAAATCAAAACGCTATGTAACGATCTATCTGCAAAAGTCATATGTAAAACGGTAGATTGGATATACACACAGTTCCTACTGGCACTCCGTAGGAAGGGCTGTAGGAACATGATTGAAATACCCACTAGACACCGTCTGATAGCGACAGACGCCTGCGGAATCGAAGAGACTGCAGACAATGTCAAGAGCAATGAACCAGCGAAACAATGGAATATCTCTTATACCCTTGTCCATGATTTGGGGACCATTGTATGAGACAAAGGAAGAGGTATCGATAGTGCGTCTACAGAGTCTATTGCACTTCTCACCAAGCGCTGGTGATATCCTGAAGGATGATTACTTCTCATTAACTACGATGCCAAGTTTAATCACTAGCCTAATAGACTAACCTAATTTAAACAATATTTTCTGAAATTTTTCTATGATTTGAACGGAGCAATTTTTTAAGCAGCTCGTTGACCGAGATCTGTAATGAATACTTGGCGCATCTCTCTGACTCTGTACTTAAAGCTCTTGTATAAAGCACTATTTAAAGTTATATATAAAAATAATACATAGTTCCTTTAATGATTACTCCAACAATTTCATTTAGAAATTTTTATTCCACCAAAATAGATCGGTGGAATAATTTGGCGCACCTTAATGCCCTTGTACGTAAAATTTTTTTTTTTTTATAACTCATTACTTGAAACTGTTACCGCTATGCCCATGTCTTCGAGCACATTATCAGTTCGCTGATCTACACAGAGTGATTATGAAAAGAACGACAAAGGCTTCTCGCAAGATTTTCTTTTACTTCGACAACACATTCACTTACCACCGCTCACGCTTGGCAGTTCTGTTGTTCCGGTTATCACAAAAATTCACAATGTCTCCCGTATTGAAGTGTCTTCTCGGCCTCTTCATTGTGCTGTGCTTTGTTCAGGTTAGTAAAGTGGAAAAGGGTATTTCATTTAAAGCTATCATTGCTATTTCTTCATCGTTGATTATACTATATATATTACATTTTTTTTCTAGTTCATTGAGATGGCACGCATTCCCCGCGATACCGATAGCGATACCGCCACTAACGAGTTTGCTGCCAAATTGGGTGAACTTGGTGCCAGTTTGAACAAATTGTTCCAAGAAGAAGCAAGTCGTTTCAAGGATACCTTTAACCCAGAAGAATTCAAGGTCAGTAAAAGTTAAGAATTGTTCAAATAGAAAACTCACCATGTTAAGAATACTGATAAGAGTTATTACTAATTGGTTATAAATGGGATATATTATATATCATACACTCTTTCTTTGATGAAATCGGTTTGTTGAAGCTTTTTTTTTATTTTCTGCAAAGATGTGAAAATTAGATTAAGAGGTCACATACATAGTTCTTGTGAAACCCAACTCGCCTGAACAGCAGTTGGGCAATTGGATGAAGCGCGTTGTTAACAGCTGCAACTTTGGCATTAGTGCTTTGATCTTTATGAAATTTGGAACACACTTAATCTCGAAAAAAGATACTTTGAGAAAACGGTATGGAAAAATTTTTGATTTTTTCGAGTATGTAACCTCTTAACAAAATTAGGTTATCTAAAGGCTATAGTTCTAGTTAGATTTTCTATACAAACTATTGTAGTGTTCCTTAAGACCTCTCAGTTATCTATATAAAGCCTAGTTACTACAAATCTTGTTGGGATTTGTTTCAATCTGTGAAAGAAGATCAGCCTTTATTAAATATTTTCCCAGTCTTAATCGAACACTCGAAAAGAAGAGATAGTCATTAAATTAGAATTAAGTAATGAGTGCCTAAAAACAAATACAATATATTTTATTAACGGTTGTTATATTTTTTCAGAAATTCGCAGAATCCGGCACCCAGCAATTGAATCAGCTCTTTGAAAGCTTCCAAAAGCCTGGTGAAAAGGTCTCACATTAATTTATTCTAAACCAAGTGTAAAAAAATAAATTTTGTAAGCATATTTCAATAAACCAACAAAATTAATGAGTCAGATGCATGATTATTTCAATATATTATTTCAAATATTACTTCAAAGTATTATTTTTATATTTTTTATTTGCGCTTTCCAATGAAATCACATTAGGCTCTGAAGATTATTGAAGGCCAGAAAAGAACTTAAACTGTTAAACTATAAGTATATTCTATAGTATATTCTTGAAAGTATTTTCATAAATGTAAATATAATATAATATTATAGAATGAAAGAAACTGTTTTAATTTAAAACGGTTGTAGATACACCCATGATCCAATATCACTCATTCCAGAAATGCTAAAAGTTAAATTTACCATTGAAGTTGATTCTTTCAAAGGGAAAGTACCGCTACTTACTCTGATACTATAAACGCTCGTATAGTGGTTGAGTTGTAGCACAACTCTCTTGAGTAATAGCGTTTTGAAGCGGCACCAAACAGCTGATTTCGTTTATCTCTAATATCAATTCCCTCAGAGCTCCAATATTAAAAATAATGCGTGATTCGTATAACAGTATATAGTATAAGAATAAGTATAAAATATAGTATAACTTTGCAATGCGTTAAAGATCCCCTTAGTGTACATATGTATGCACATTTATACTTGCTGAGCTGATAGCACATAATTAGAATACTATTTCAGTAACTAAAAATATTTCTTAGAACACTTACAAATACTTATGTGGCATTGCTTGTGCGTTCAGGCGACAGAAAATGATACAGTTCTTCAACAATAGTTTATTTGGATACAGCAGCGCTTACACATAATACGCTATTGCTTCTATGAAAGAGACATTCCTTTTATAATATTTGGGTATGAGCTTGATGACACTGTCTTACACGCGTTCTTCACTGCATTACAGTGTGATGAGTAGTATACTATATACTTACTATATTCTTTATCGATAAAAACATCCCAGAGAAAATCGCCATGTTCGTGAATCAAATTACTTTGAAAATAAAGCAACAAGTATTAAATATCTGCTGGAAATTAAATCGAATCATTTCAAAATCATGAACGACGTATGCTAGCTTCAAACAGTCATATTAGACTCGACTATATGTTGTTCTAACGTCAGATCACTGCCAGTTAAAAAGATATGTTTTGCAAATCGTATACGCGTAAAATTTTCAGAGTTTTCGTTTTCAAACGCTCTGGTGATGTTATTTATTTCGAGTTAAATTAATCGAACACTCGCAAACCGTTTTCGCACGCTATTTAGTAACAAGAAATCATTATAATTTCTTCTGTTATATGCGCCAAAATGAACGATAACTTCTCCTGGTTCTGATAGATCTTTTCATGAAACAATATCTCAACATTTGTCGAAGTTGTTGGTTTGGGATATCAATGAAATTATTTATTCTTGTGAAAGTACAATCTATGCCACTATGTATGGAACTCGATTTCTTTTGTGCCACCACGGGCACACTTATTAAAGTCCGGACGCTGAACCCTATTTTCGACCACGGCTGAGGCGGTCAAATGACTGGACCATTTCTTGAGATAACACATTCGTCAAAATTGGTTTTCAATAAATCGATTGTGACATTCACTGTGTGGTTTGTAGCGCTGTCCTATTGAAACCATACATTGTTCAAGTCTACATCACCCAATTCGGGCCGAAAATGTTCGGATATCATTGAGCGGTAGCGATTTCCATTCACAGTAACGTGCCAGTCTTGATCAGTAGGGCCCAATGACGCCGCCGTACCAAACCGTAATTAATGGAGTACGTGTGGGTTGCTGTCTGGCCAATAATGCATATTTTACTTCTTGACGAAGCCGTTCAGCCAGAAATGAACCTCATCGCTGAAGATGAATTTTCGATGAAAATCTGAATCAATTTCTAGTTCGTGCTCAGCCCAATTCACGAGCATACGACGATTCTGTTTCAAGCGATTTCAGTTCTTGCGTCAATTTGATCTTATAAGAATGTAGGTCAAGATCTTTTCGTAAAATTCTCCACAACGACGGCCACAGAGATGACCCATGCTTGAGAACGCCGTGTGAAAGACTAATTTGGGTTTTCCTCAATTGATGCGCAAGCGC